TTTTTCCCCCTCCTTTTTTTTTTTTTTGCACAGGATATGCACTATTCATTTCAAAGATATGTTGATTGATTGCAATTACAGGCCTATCTGCTGTAGATTAATCCCGTATGGTAGAGTAAGCCATCGAGGGTTGTTTACAATCAAGTTTGTTCGGTCCGTTTGCTTCTGAAGATCACTCATAAGTTATCAAGCTCTGCAACGTTTTTAATCACTCTTCTTACATGGATTGTTGGCTGTTCGTTAAACACACATGGTTTAATCGCATGTTTACTTTGTGTGTTTTGCATTAGGCAGCTAGACTCATTTTCAATTTCAGACAGCTGTTTTTTCCCCTTGTCCGCAATGACAGATGGAGAGGGTGACAGCTGTGGGGGTTGTGGGCAACATTGAGGGTGTGTTTGATTTTCTCTTTGACTCAATCACGAGCCTCTCATTAAACGGAGTGAACGTAAATATTTGTGTCGTACAACACACGAGCATGCCAACAAGCTCTCTCTTTCACTACCTCACTTTCCTTTTCTAATTGGAATTATGCACAAAGGAAGAGGAGGTAGTGTACACGCTCTTTTTTCCCACAGTTTTGATATCCGAGGAAAAAAGACGGAGAGGGAGAAAAGAAAGTGAGAGAATACATTTGAGGCGTATTTGTGTTTATGGATTTAATTACATAAGGCTTCCAAAACTTCATATGCGTGATGGCTACACACAAACACATGCTTTTTATCTTTTTTACCTCTCTGTCAAGTTCCTTTTGCAGGCCTGTTCCGGTTCTGGCCGTCACATTGTTAATAGGAATTGATCCCTGCATTCTTCATCTTGAAACCTCTTTTTCAGCCCACTTCCTGATGGCTGCTGTTTAGCTCTTTTGGTCAGTGACCTCAGGAATGCTCACAGCGATCTCTCAAACCAGAAGTGTTCCTCTCTCTGGATCAAGACCAGTCTACTGGAAATCCTTTTTCACACACATGCTCTGTTTTCTTAGGCTTATGAAACATCTGCAGAACTTTGGAACATCTGGATGGCTCAGTTCTCCGCTGTAGAGATCTTTGTCCCTCTCCTTCTCGCTTCCATGTTTACCGGGAGGCTTCAAAGCGGATGGCGTGTTGTTCTATATGTAAGGTGTGTGTGCGTGCGTAAATGAACACATATGTCTGGCAGATAGAGCTGTTGGCTTCAACCGTTCACGGCCTCTCCAAAGCTCTGCGTTCTGCCATCTGTGGTTTTGAATGTCAGTCAGGCTTTGAGAGTGTGTGTGTTTAGAGTTTAGAGAGGCTTATTGTGAGAATGCCTCCACCGAATGAAGACACACTGCCTCAAATGTGCCTCAAATGTACTGAGGGTCTTTAAGAACCTCCGCCACTGCAGTTTTTATTATGATACATCGTAAAGGAAGTCGTGGATCTTCTCTCTCGCTTGCTGCCAAAGAAATGTTTGGTTAAAGAGCTGGGTGGCGGAATGGACTCTGCTGGAATAGTAAACTTGAAACTTGAAACATGGTAACTGCTTTCTAAAGGATCTAAGCTATTAGCTGGTTGACCAGGCACCATATATAATATAATATAATATAATATAATATAAAATCCGAAATAATAATCCTCATCATCATCATAATAACTAAAAATATATAATAATTTTTTAAAAATTACTCAACCCTTAATATGTTTCAAAATGGTGTTTATTTCTTCTGTGGAACTTTTTTTTCCCCTCAAATTAGAAATTGCATGCTTCAATAAGGATGTAAAAGTGTCAAGTAATCAAAATAGTTTCCCAAAAGTAGTCCATACTACTTGTGCTCTATATTCCAAATCCTCTACAGTAGCTTTGTGTGAGGAACAAACTAAATTTTGAGTCATTATTTAATGATAATTTTCCCATTCATTTAGCTGCTAACTGCTGCAACCTGATCATTGAATGAGTTCAGCATTAGTTTCATTTGAGAACAACTCATTCAGTCCATTTTTGTGCACCGATTCTTTTAAAAAATAGATTGAAACTCAAAAGAAGGATTCCTTCATGAATTGTTCAACATTACTTCTCTTATGAACGTGGTAATAAGAGCAGTAAATATACTTACATGTTGATGCTCATCACAACAAGCTGTCGCATGACTTTGAAGACTTAGATGCATGATTATTATTATTATTAATTATTAACAATGCACCTTTTGCGTTCCAAGAAGGAGTTCCAATGTAATAAAATAAGGGTGAGTAAATAATAACAGAATGTTCATTTTTGGCTGAACTCTTCCTGTAAGCTGGATTTTCCAGCAGGGGTGAGGTCAAGCTGAATCCTTCTCTGTCCTGTTACTGAGGAAATAGTTGACAAGCATGAGCCTTGAACAAAATGGCCGTTTCCTGTCTCCCCAAGCACACACACAAACCCACACACAGACACAAGCGGCTGTGCTCAAACATGCAGACTCTCTTGTGTCGTCAACGATCAGCGTGATAAGAAAAACAACAGAGCGGTCTTGTTTTGACCCTTGAATTTTAAATCTGATAAATGTGTCCGATAATGTCTGATTAATGTCCGATAAAGAATCTTCAGTTTTTGGCAAAAACACTGAGATATGTGTGTTATAGTGTGTATAAATAACTCTTATCTCACTCTTATTCTGTACATGTGTGTGTGTAGGATATGGCTTTGTGGATTTCGACAGTCCGGCGGCGGCACAGAAAGCTGTAGCGTCCCTGAAGGCCAGTGGCGTGCAGGCACAGATGGCAAAGGTAAGCTAGGCTTTGAACCGTGTCTAAACCTTAGCAGAACAGGATGAGAATATCAAATATATTGCTGCTATTTCTAATTATGGTGTCCCTGATGGTGATAATGATCATAGGGAAGATGTTGATGATGACGGCTGTGGTGGTAAACATCTGTGGAGGACGTATACGTATGATTATCTGGAAGAGGTGGAATTGGACTCATGAAGCTCGATGTCCAGTGTGTGTATTCAGACTCACGCACAGTTGTTTAAAGCATCTGTCCTCTAATATTCATAAGCTTGCAGGCTGTCAGGATGCAGATGGTTTGTGTAACTGAAATCCCATTTAAATGCATGCCTGTCAGAGCTCTCTGCAACACAGCAGGCCTCGTATGAAACAGACAGGTCATCTTACAGAGAGGAGGAGAGGGAGGCAGGGAGCCAGAGAGAGAAAGACTGGGTTTTCGCTCATGTTTGCATGTTTTCTGTGGTCCGAGTAATAGAATTTACCATTTAAATTAAGCTCAATCGACAACCTCTGTTGCATAATGTCGATTACCACAGAAAATAACTTCAACCTTAGTTTTTTGTAATAAAGGCCAAATTCAAAGTTAGTTCAACACATTTATGTTACAAATACTGTTGATTGAGTTTAACTTGCACTGAACCCTGGACATTGCTTAAGTGTGCTCAGCTTTTTGACTGAAACTGTTTTCCAAACTGCATCTAATTGGTAAGAAGAGTCGTTAATCATTTTGGAAGCCCCATTCATAGGCCCTGTTCCAAAACTAGTGAACTCCTGCCTTCTAAGATACCTTCTTTCATGGGCCAGAATCCTTCACAGATGAGGCAGTCCCAGAATGCATTAGAATGTAGTAAAAATATTGATTAATGAAATGTTAATTATAAATATATATTTATATTTCATTCAATATCAAGTTGAAGTAGTTAAATCTAATGAGAAACTGAATATTTTACCCAGTATTATATTTTTATTTATTTAATTTACAATACCATTAAAAGTTTGGTGTTTTATATATATAAGAATGAGTGTTATGAGTGAATGAGTGACACATTAGACGGAGAGGGAGAAAAGAAAGGGAGAGAATACATTTGAGGCATATTTGTGTTTATGGATTTAATTACATAAGGCTTCCAAAACTTCATATGCGTGATGTCTACACACAAACACATGCTTTTTATCTTTTTTACCTCTCTGTCAAGTTCCTTTTCAGGCCTGTTCCGGTTCTGGCCGTCACATTGTTAATAGGAATTGATCCCTGCATTCTTCATCTTGAAACCTCTTTTTCATTTTTTGATAATGTTACAAAAGATTACTATTTCAAATAAATGCTGTTTTGAAATTTCTATTCATCAAAAAATATCATGGTTTCCACAAAAATATTAAGCAGCACAGCTGTTTTCAACAATGATAATAATAAGAAATGTTTCTTGAGCACCAAATCAGTATATGAGAATGATAATGATAATAATTTATAATATTATAGTTTTTCCTGATTTTTTAAAAATCAAATAAATGCAGCATTTGTGAGTATAAGAGTCTTCTTTCAAAAACATAAAAAAAAAATCTTACCAACCCCAAATCGTAGTGTATTTACAGTATAAGCTTTCAAGAGCTTTGCATTGTTAATAATGCAGTGCCAAACTATTGAAGTCAATTGTTGAGTCGAGTCGGACATATCTAAAAATATTTTAATCAAAATATATTTATACAAATAATAAAAAAATATTTGTTAATAAAAATAAAAAAAATTATTAAAAAAAAATGAAGTACAGTATTGGCAAGTAGTTTGATTCTTGTTTTAAGCAAAAACCTCACAAAATTTTGTTAGGCTTTTTAAATGTGTATTTTAATATCTTTTGTGAATTTGCTTCTGAAGTAAATGCACTGTATTTTTATATAATTTTTTTTTTCCTGGAAAACAAGACAAAATACTACTTAAGAAACTTTTTTTGTTGGTAGACTGGCTATTATTTCAGTCTCATTTCAGTAGCTTTTCTGAGCTAAACATTTGAAAGTGTTGAGTGTTATGAAGGAGAACAATTTGATTAGCCGATCTGGAGTATAAATAGTGATTGGTATGTAGCATGAGCCAATCAGCAAGGTTCTCGCCCACCAGTACCTGCTTTATTAAAACAGTCAGAGCTGATGCTCAATTTACTTTCTCTGTCTGAATATTAATTTCACGCAAATAGCTGTGTAATCTAAACATCTAAAGTTATTTCAAATTGAATTTTCACCGTGCTGTGGTGTTTCTACTGGAATTCAAGAGGAACAAAGAACCGTTGAGTCCTTCCTGGGTGGAAGAAACATACTGTAGAAAGTAAACTGTTATTCAGAGGAATTTACTCTGTGGAAGATGGCCACATACGTCTTTTTAACAATGAGAGAAGGGCAATTAAAAGAACTAAATCGCCTGGCTTAAGGCTCATTAAATTAAACAGGAGCGCAATCGAAGAGTTTCCCTCTGCCCTATTAAACCTGTTTTCATTAAGAATTCTCTCACTTTAACAGTGCCTCTGAGCAACAAAACTAGCCTCTTAAACTTATTTCGACAGTGTATCAAGCTTCTCCTGTGGTGCTTATTGCTTATTGTGGAGAATGTCTACATGGTAGACATGCACTTTAGATTGTGGATCAAAATTTGACCCATGTTTGTTGCAGAAAGGACATATTCATGAGAATACATGATTCAAAGATGGAAACAAACCATCTAGGGTTCATGTTCACCTTTAGATATTCAAAGAATATTGCAAATGTAATATTTCGCAGTGAAATGTACTTCAGAGGCTTGTAGAATACTTAAGTGTTGAAATATTTATTGGACCGAAACATATACGCATGAATGCCACAGAGTAATGCGAATTGAAATGGTGTAAGAAGAAACACCGCCCCATATACATGATATACGTAAGTGTGTGTGTATTCCGATGTCAGAACTCGGTTCAATGAACATTTACTGTCGAGTTGTTGTGGGTTTTTAAGAAACCTTTTGTTTTGGATTTCATAACCTCATTATGTGGATGGTATTCAAACTTCCAGTCCTTTCTGTTCTTGTTTGTTGTGCTAGTCCTGCTGTGACATTCTTACTGTGTCTGATTTTCTCTAAATTAACTTCAAGCAATGTCTGTTACCACTTAGACAAAAAAGTCTTTCCTGAAAAGTAAGACTTTTATTTCTCATGTTTAAACAAACAAAACTAGTTTGCATCAAGCAGGGAATTTGTTTGGCAGGAATGCGTTATAATTATGATGCCATAATGAGGTGCTAGTATGGAATACTGTAATTGTGAGGAGATTAATTATTCATGAGGCAGTATTTATGTAAATTGTTACACATACATTAACTGTATAACAGGAGAGAACAAGGGAAGTAGAGAAAGAGTGTGCGTGTGTGAATTATTCGAGTAGTTGCCTGCAGACATGTCCTTCACATCTGAACATCTCCACACACTCTTTGTGGATCCACATGCCTGCTAGTGATGTGTGTTTGTGTGTGCATTGATGTCTGTGTTTGTGTGTGTGTATTTCCCAGGAGAGGACTTTGGTTTTGAGTTTCCACCCTGTGTAAACTCATTTTTGCCAGAATCTTTCTACATTGGCGAATGGAATAGAACCATCATGTAAAATGTCAAATGTTCTCAGAGTCTCCATTTGAGGGCTCTTTGTTTGAATGCTATTGGTGTGTCGTATTGTTTTCTGAAATTTCTTCTTTCCGTGATAGACAAGGAACAAATTAAAGTAAAGAAAATAAAAGATCAAAGACATTGTGTGGACTGCTTTGTCATTACTGGGGAAAAATTCAGAGTTGCTTTTTAGACAGTTTGCACCTGGATACCAGAAAGCCTTGTGTTGATTTGCTTAAATAGGACAGGATTAAAATCACAAAGTACGTCTCTGTAGAACACAAACTTACCTGACTTTAACCATTGAAAAAAAAAAAAAAAAGTCCTGTCCGAATAGGGCTTATGCGTGTTTATTTTATGCTGTCATACCATCAGTTTTTGCCTCGGCTGTTCCAAACAAATCTGTACATTCCAGAATGTCCACATTTAGGATTTTAGCATTTAACAAATTAGATTAGTAATTTATAATAAAATATTCAATAATATTTGTTGTTTCACCATGCAAGAGTAAATTACAGAAATTAACACAGAAGTACAACAGTAGAACAGAGAGAAAAGAGCCCTGTTGAAAAAAAAACAGCATATGCTGGTTAGGCATGTTTTGAAGCATGGCAGCTAGTTTAAGCTGGTCCTGAGCTGGTTATAAGCTGGTTCTGAGTTGGTCCTGAGCAGGAGTTGCTTAGGACCAGCACATGATCAGCTCGTAACCAGCTTATAACCAGCTCAGAACCAACTAAAGACCAGCTCAAACCAGCCGCCATTCTTCAAAACATACCTAACCAGCATATGCTGTTTTTTTAAACAGGGGAGAACAGAAGTTGGCACCTCAGTTCATCTTTAGCCATCTTTAAAGGCTGTAATGGACTCACCCAGTAGATCTAGCTGAGTTTGGACGGCATAATTGTTTTCCACAGAAGAACGGAGTGAGTGAAGGTTCTGGAAAAAAATGTGCACCTTGATTTGATGGAACCACCTGGCGGCATTGACTCCTGTGAACAGGAGGGAACGTAGACCTGTAGGAGTGCTGTTTCAGCCATTATCCTGAGGCCCGCGTCAAAGCTTTGAATATCAGAATCAGAATCAAAATGAGCTTTATTGCTAGGTATGTTTACACATACGAGGAATTTGTTTTTGTGACGGAAGCTTCCACAGTGCAACAGAATGACAGTGACAGGACAAAAACACACAGATAATAAAAGAATAAAAAGTAAGTAAATAGGGAATAACAATATACAAATTGACAATTGTATGTACAGGTATATTACAATAGACAATTTTGTATGTACAGGTATATTATGTGCAAATTCGAAATGTAAACTAAGTATGTGTGTTTGATAAATAAGTATATAAGTATATAAATAGTGTTGTGTGTTCCACAATTATTCATAAGACACAAGTCTTCATAAGATGGATTGCCTGAGGGAAGAAACTGTTCCTGTGCCTGGCCGTTCTGGTGCGCAGTCCTCTGTATAGCGCCAACCAGACAGCAACAGTTCAAAGAGGGAGTGTGCTGGATGTGAGGGGTCCAGAGTGACTTTGCCAGCCCTTTTGCTCACTCTGGATAAGTACAATTCTTGGAGAGTAGGGAGGGTTGTACCAATGATTCGCTCAGCAGTCCAGACTATCCGATGTAGTCTTCTGAGGTCACTAGACAGTTATAGAAGTGCAGAGGACGGATTAAATGATGGCGGAGTAGAACTGTTTCAGCAGCTCCTGTGGCAGGTTGAACTTCCTCAGCTGGCGAAGGAAGTACAACCTTTGCTGGGCCTTTTTCACAATTGAGTCGATGTGAGTGTCCCACTTCAAGTCCTGAGAGATAGTGCTGCCCATGCAGGAACCTGAATTTCTCCACTGTCGTTACAGAGTGCAGGGGTGTTTCTCCTGAAGTCCACGATCATCTCCACAGTTTTGAGCATGTTAAGCTCCAGGTGGTTAAGACTGCACCAGACAGCCAGCTCTTTAACCTCCTGTCTGTAAGCAGACTCGTTACCATCCTGAATGAGGCTCATAAGTGTCGTGTCGTCTGCAAACTTTAGGAGCTTGACAGAGGGGTCCTTTGAAGTGCAATCTTTCGTGTAGCGGGAGAAGAGCAGTGGGGAGAGGACACATCCCTGAGGGGCACCAGTGCTGATGGTGCGGGTGCTGGATGAGAATTTTTCCAGCTTTACTAGCTGCTTCCTGTCTGTCAGGAAGTTGGTGATCCACTGACAGACGGAGGTGGGCATGGAGTTAATTTGGGCAGGAGGAGGTTTGGGATGATAGTGTTAAAAGCCGAGCTGAAGTCGGTTAAAAGCCGAGCTGAATATGTAAATCCAAGACTAGACTTTTGGTGTTGTGTGATGAGGCTATAAAAAATGTAAATTAAAATTCGCTCTTGAGTCGAATCAATTCTTGAAACATTAGCCATTAGCATTTTAAAATGTAATGTTAGTAATCTTTTATTGATACCGCAGTCATCTTTCTGTAATTTAACAGCTTTAGATGGCCAGACATGTTTAAATGTCCTCATTAGCATTACATTATGTAACTGTTGGATTAAACTAGTCTGTCTGAATGTGTGTGTGTGTGTGTGTGTAAGTCCAGTTGGTCCTTGGCTTTTTATGAGCAGCAGCAAAGTGGTAATATTACAGGTTTTGCTGCACCTTTGGCTTCCATTATGATTTCTTTCCCCGGGCCATCAGAAGAACTGTGAACACTCAGATAATATTGTGAGGGTGTGTGTGCGTGCGGGTGAAGGTCTTTTCTTTTTATGCCTGCATAGGGATTTGCATTGTGTGCACGAGTGTGTATATACATGTCTTTGCGAACTGTAATTGTATTACCTTCATGACTTAGTAGCATTGCTTTCTTGAAGCATATTCTCATGCTTAAAAATGGTTTTGTTTTTAATATAGCCGTATAGCAGGAGGCGGAAAATTCCCTCAGGGTATTATATGAGTGGAAGTGTGGAAAATGCTCTCATTCTTCTCCATTCTCAATTTTGCGCGTGTCACGGCGTTCCGGTAGCGCTAAATGAGGGTGAATAATTGCTCCTTAAAGAAGAGGGCCTTTCCATCCTCACGGACACCTCGTATGAATAAACCAGTGCAACAACTTCAAATTGAAGTTAAATTGTTTCCCCTTTCTGTCTGCTGTGAACAGACTTATCATTCCTTCACGGAACCTCAGTGGTTTCCCCATTCATGTTTTCATTTGGCCCGAAAAGTTGCAGGGAAAAGCGTTCCTTGCAGTAGAAAGTACTCATAATAACCTAACCAAGGTCAGGCTGGTAATTAGAGTGTATGTGTGTGTGTACATGTTTGCCAGTCCCCATCACACCTTAAGCCCAGACGTGAATTACGCTGTGGGAGTCTGAGCTGCACCTGTCGCAAAGATTCCTACTGCTGGGTGACTGGCAGGTCTTCCACACACAAACACACTCACGCACAGACAAATTTATGTCTAGCCTGAGTGTTAGGAAACCTTGGAGCACACTAGTTTAGCTGAATTGCCTGAATCCAGCTTTCATTTTTTTAATCCAGCTACTCTATTAAACTAGATTTTTATTATTTTCTGAAGAAAATGCATGGTGCTCGCCCAGGGAAAAGACACTGCCATGATGCTAGGGGTGGTTGCTGTTGCAATTAGGCTGCTTAGGTGCTGTGGTGGTTACTAGGGTTTCCTGTATGTTAAGATTAATAATGGTAATTTTCACGATTAAAATGACCATTTTAAATGTAAAAATGAAAATGAAGGCAGCATTATATATACAGTATGGAAAATGCCAATTTTGTTGTTCAATTATTAGTTTTTATTCAAGTTTCTGTATATGTGTGCATCTGGAAAAGAAAGAAAGAAAAAAAATATATATATATATGTATGTATGTATGTATATAAGACTACAATAAAAAATACAATTCAATTTTTAGCACATTTCCATTCATTTCCATTTGCAAAATATATTTTATATAAACACACACACACACACACACACACACACGTACCTCAATAATATACTGTCATTTAGTAATTTTCCCTATTTTATCATTTGCCTGATGAAAATTGTAAGTTTGATTGCTAAGTAAAGTAAAAGCACACCTTTCTTTGATGAACTATTAAAAAATGTTAAATTAAAAAAAAAGTAGTATTTGAGGAAACAACCCTTATGAGCAGTAGTTATGGTGCTGCTTTTCTTTTAAAATCCTATAAGATGTAAAATCTTTCATATGTTATTGCATTTGATGGTTCTAACATCAGTTCTGAATCATTAATATTTATTTAGTTTGCTATGGGAACGCTCTTTTTATTTGTTAGCATTCACCATTCTCAGGGAATAAAGAACTCTAAGCCAAAGACAAAGAAGTTGTATTAAGTCTTTATGCAAGCGAATTACCTTTTGTAGTTGCTTAGCAAAGCATAGCACAGAACTTCCTAAATGTTCCCAACTGTTCTTAGTACAAGTCACTCAGCCAGGCTAGAAATGGACGAGCTGAGAAATATAATGTTCCTCTTCTCCCTAAGTGTACATACTTTATGTATAATAAAGGCAAACCACTGAAATCCAACACCATGTCGTGTTTAAAAATCCAACCACCATCGCTTCGAGATTATTCTTCTCGTTATGAGGCCGGAAAGAGTGGGGGAAGGAAGAGAAAGGAAAGATGTGATTGCGCTTTGTCTTCCACCATTGACATCAAATTCCCATTTCCTAAATGTTCTGTGAAGTGTGCTTCCCTCTCCACAGGCTCCACAGTGTGTGTGTGTGTGTGTGTGTGTGTGTGTGTGTGTGTGTGTTTGTGTTGTGTTGTTGCCGTTCGGTTTTGGTGTGGGCCCACAGTGATTGAAAACAGATGCCTTGTTTTTTTGTAGTTGTCTCGCCGGGGAAAGTAATGGACAAAGCAGAACACAGGACAGCGAAAGCATAAACGAGATCTATTGCGACACAATGAAATGGGCTCGGGAAGCAATAAGCACCAGGCGCATTCCGGTTATATCAAATGGTGGCTTCTCACTCCCTTTCACTCACAGATGATTTGTATAACATAATGTGCCTTCCTCTTGCCTACGATACTGCGTCGAGAAAAAAAAACAAAAAACAGGCACGCCGGTAGAGTCCAATATGAAATTGAGTCATGAAGGCCTGTTGCCAATGTCTTGTTCTCAGGGTTTTGTAATTCAAAGCTTTACTCGTTTATTAGGGGTTATCTGGGATCTGGACTCTTTGTTTCAGAGGAACTCTCCCTGTTTGGGTTGTCTTTATTTTTAACCACTTTTTTTTTTTGTTCTAATGGGTTGATTAAACTATAATGATCTATTCAAACATCCCTAATGTGTGGTCTGCATCTACTTTGTTGTTCTCAATAGTGTTTTTTACCTGCTATTTACCAGTTTTGATTTGGAATACTATTGTCACTTATACTACATAACTTGCTGTAGCATATTTAGGATCTTTTGTTGACCAAGGCTTCATTCATTTGATCAAAAATAGAGTAAAAACAGTAATATTGTGAAATATTATAATTTAAAATAATGGTTTTCTATGTTAATATATTTAAAAATGTAATCTAAAGTTGAAATAGAAACCAAAATCTTTTGTGAAAGTCTTTAGCGTCACCTTTCATCAATTTAATGCATACTTGTTCAATAAAACTATTAATTTCTTTAAAAAAATCTTACTGACACCAAACATTTGAAAAGTGTACATTAAATACATGCAAGTACATGCTGTAGCAGTGCTTTGATGTTAAATGATATTTAAATATATTTATAATCAACATTTCTTTGATTGCCTCATCTGTGAAGGATACATGTATATCCTTCATCTATTTTGCATAGTTTGTTTTAAGATCAAATAATGAATTAAAAGAAGTAGTATTCAGAATCACAGTATATATTGCTTCACATGAATTTGTCACACTTGGAATGGAAGGTGAAGTCAGATGAAGTCCATTATGGGATATGTTATCCCATTTATTATGTTCCGGTTTTATACAGCACATTTTGGCTAATGTAGCAGGTCATGTGAAAATGAGTATACTGTGCAGAGTACACATGCTGTGTATTATATAATATTTTTATGACTAATATACAAGTATACAATGCTTTAAGTTGTTAAAATGCTTTTCTTTCTCATTTAAGGCACAAGTTTGTCCAGAATTGCGACTGGTTCCTCTTAAAAAAAACAGCTGCATGATACTCTTGTATGGTAGTATGCCAGTCCAAACACAGCTAGAAACAAGGAGGAGGATGTGGGAGTGGTGTTGCCCTAAAACCTTCATGCTCACGAACAAAAGGAAGAAGGCCAAGCTGGCCCAATTGAATTATGGGTGATGTAGTCAGAATGTTAGTATCTCTGAGCCTCTATCAGCCTCTCACCAATCTCATTATCCGTGCATTAGCAGCTGTGTGAGGAAGGAAAGGGGCTTTTAGTGGGAGCACTCAGGAGCTGGAGGGCTGGGCTCCAGACAGAAAGCGAAAAGAAAGCCGAGAGCTCAAGGAGTTGCAGTTGTTGTTGTTGTTTAATGATGCTAATGTGCATTTGCAAGATGCATGTGCGTGCGAGCTCTATTCTCTAGATGAGGGCACACAAAGGCCAGAGGAAAGGTGTAGTACACAAGCTTCAAACCATTCACCAGAACTAAGAGGGCTGTGCTTCATCCAGACCACTGATCAGGCAGGAAACACATCCCTCCAGCTGTTAGCATTAGAAACACCATCACAAATGTCTCATTTCACAAATGAAAGGATTTGAGAGAGACAGCGAGCGGAAAGCAGACAGACAAACACATCCGGATGCTGCCGTGTCTCCTCTGTCCCTGTCGTACACATGTAGCCCCGTCTCACTCCAGCACTGTTGTTATTCCTCACTAGTGCCTAAAATCTGTCTACATATCTCTGCCATCCCGGGCAGTGAGTTGTACTAACAGCTGATATGGCCGCTGATGTTCTCGTCCATTACGGAGACGTGTCGTTCTCATGAGAGCTTGATCTGACTGTCAATTCCACAGCGAATAAATCTTCCACTTCCTTCAACACTCTTATAATAACTCCATCTGCTTAATAGCTGATTCACAAGCTCTGCTTGAGTTGGGAGATTTATCGTTTTTTCTCTTAGTTTCAAAGGGTTTGAAAGGATTGCGCATGAACTTTCCAGACTGACTTTTAGTTTAGATTTGGTTTTTGTTTACATGTGTTTTTTGGTGACTTGGTTGCAGTTTTATTGGCATAGTCAAAGTGCATTTATGCAATATGCAAAACCATTTTTTAATTGATATTTTAAATATACATTTTTTTTTATATATATATTTATCTGTTTCATGTTATTTAATAAATTGAGGATGTAATATACATAGTATGTAAAATGTAATACAATTACATTTTTATTATGAATCTCAAACTTTTTTAAATAAATGCATTTATTTATTTTTATGTTATTAAATATATTTTATGATATAAAATATAACATATATAATATGTATTATATGTAATACATTTACATTTTATAATAAAGCATACCATTTTCCTATATTTAATAAAAATGTATATATGTTGCACCAAAGTCAAAGTGCCTTTGTTCAGTTTTCAAATAATTTTTAGCTATATCTTATTTATCTAATTATAAAAATATTATTATATTTAATAGTTAAATTGTATATTAATTTGTATAAAGATTATGTTGTACTGTAAATAAGACTGATTTATATTCAATACATAAGACTATTGAACTATAAAGTGATAAGTATACTCTAGATGAGATATGCTAGGCTTACTCGATGTGAGTAATATTTTGGCACGTGTGTAAACACACACTACATGATCCAGTGTCACGATGACCTTGTGATTGGTCCACATTCACATCATCATTGCATGTGTCTTCCGAAACACATTTAGAGGCTTTCTGTTAGGGTCATTTTGTGGATTAAAAAAAAGGCAAAGGCGTTTCAGATGAAGGACCTTGACTGGTTATCATTCCATTTGGGATTGAGTTGTGCAAACTACTGGCAGAACAGCATGTTCCTTGGGCTGAAAAGATCAAGTTAGAGAGAGAAACAGACTAAGAATGCAAGAGAAGGGAGTTCCTGAGTAGTCTGGAAGATTTGACTATGTCACATAACCAGATTGACCCTACTTCCTGTCTGTTGCACAGGCAGTTAGTACTGGACATCTCATGGAAACGTCTGCTTTGATGAGCTAACTCAGAAAGACGGCCAGCATCTGCGTGTGCTTCACATGTTTCTCACCCTCGTCGGTGCGTGCAAGCCTTCCCTCGGTCTACGCCAATGCTAGAGCAGAATCTTTAGCCGGGAATCAAAATCGATTGGCTCCAAAGAGCAGCTCACTCTAAACAAAGACAAATGAATGATCCTCACTTCCTCTCACTCCACCTCTCAAAAAAATCTCACTGCCTGCGATGCTCACTCTTGGGATGTACAGCACAAGAGGAACTAACGTTGACCTGTTCTTGAGCTGTAAAAGAATAATAATAAAAAAAACAATAGACCTGATTTCATGACATGCAATAAATCAAAGTTATATAATTCATAAAAATCTCCCGCCGGATGAGCAGGCCAGCTGCAAGAAGGCCAGCACTGAGTGATTAATGCCTCTCTTTACATTTGATCTAGCTCTCATAGACGAAAAAACAACACATGGGTTTAAGAACCTGAGGCGCAGATGATGCTGATCATTTTGATATGAGCGAATGATTGATGGATAATGGGAATGATGGGAGTCTGAGAGGATATGCTCCGGAAATCTCGGCCAAGTACATGCACCGATGTGGCGCTGACCCAGCCGTCGTGGGCGCGGTATGGGCAGCTACGTCAGAACAGGCGCTATACGTGCCAAAACACAGCTGTCTTGGACCCAGATGTCATGTAAAGATGACCTCATCACAAAGACTTCAGCTGCAGCTGCTGTTGTAATGTCAGGCAGATATGAGCTCACTGAAGCGCTCGCCAGTTAACTATAGTTACGGCCTGACAGAGTGCTGGAGAACCATTTGTGATGCATCATAGAGCTGTAAGTGCAACAGATCCATCCAATACCGTTTGATAACGTAATACACAGGACTGTGCTGCCTCTATTGTAGCTGCAGATATACTGCACTCCATGCTAATTACTACATACTGTTTTATGTTAGATTGACCGCAGAAAGAAAGTCTCAGTTTTCACAGAAAAACAGCATAAGGTTCTAATGTCATTTGCATTTTTTGCATATCACTACTTGGCAGGTTGCGATCAGTTACATGCCATGCAATAACCAGTGACTTTAAAGTCTGAATATGCGCCAGGGTTGTGTAAAATTAAGAGCTCATTTAAGAATGTGGCTTTAAATTAAAGAGATAGTTCTCCCAAAAATGAAAATTCTGTAATACTTTACTGTTCCAAACCTGTATGAGTTTCTTTCTTCTGTTAAACACAAAAGAAGACATTTTTAAGACTGTTGGTAAACAAACAGTTGACATTTGAGGGTGAGCAAATGATGTCATAATTTTCATTTTTTAAGCTATCATTAAGATGAAGACTCTTTCATGATTGAATGACCAAAAACACCAATTAAACGCACACAAACATAATCACAGTACACAAAGGGCTTGTTATATATTGGTTATTTTCAGTGGTGTATTGTAACGAAGTAATAATACTTCGTTACAGTACTTAAGTATTTTTGGGAGTATCTGTACTTTACTTGAGTTTTTATATTTCAGCCAACTTTTACTTTTACTCCACTTCATTTCCTAATTAAAATGTATACTTTTACTCCGATACATTTCCCCGAAGCATATTCGTTACTTACTACAAAATAGTCAGAAGTCAGAAGAACACGGACTGCAGGAAAGCAGGTCTGATGAATCAGTGGTCTGGCACTTTTAAGTTTAGACCTTTGCTCATGTGCAAACAAGTGCGCGCACAACCGCGGATGATTCATTTTCCATTTTTTTATATATATTTATTTGCTTCTTTTCCATTTTGCATTTACTTGTACTTTTACTTTCAATACTTAAGTACGTTTAAGATAAAAAAAAATACTTTTCGTACTTAAGTACAATAAATATCACATACTTTAAGACTTTTACTCAAGTAATATTCTAAACGGTGACTTCAACTTCTAACAAAGTCATTTTCTGGTAAGATATCTGTACTTTTACTTGAGTATGGCTTTCAGGTACTTTATACACACACCACTAGTTGTAGACATTGCCACAGGGCAAATAGTGCTCTTGGCTATAATATAGATGAGCGCACTGTTTCACAGTCTTGGCAAGTCTTGAAGCGTGATAGGCTATGTTGGGCAATATTACAGGCTTTGGATCACATGAGCTCAGTGTGTGTTTATGTGTTGAGAGAATGTGTGTTTATGACAGAGCAAACACTACATCGTTTGGCCCCGTGATGGACATTATGTCCGTTGCGTAATGGCCCTACTGGGAGGAAGTCTCACTGTATTAACAAATACATTCAGCACATTAAGGCTCTTGAATACCCATGTACGTTAAAATGGGACTGTAATGTTATGGCTATCTGATTTGTTCCATTATGAGAAATTATTTGTTAGTGTCTTGTATTGTGACTAAATTCCCCATTAGAATGTCTCTTTTTTGCTTTTTAATTAAGTTTTGGCAGTGTGTTAAATGAGCTGTAGCAGTTAAGCGCTTTCCCACGCCTTACTAGAATAAACTGTTCAGATTAAGCAAGGCACAGATCTTTTTATACCCGTCATCTGTGAATAATGGCCACATTGGCCTCACTGTATTATTTTCTAAAATGATATGATAAAAAAGATGAAAAAATATTTTTTACATTGTTAATAAATAATATGAATTACAATTGTTCAATATTATATATATATATATATATATTGTATACAAAATGTTATATATATATATATAAAGTTAATGATGTTGTCACACACCTGGCCTCAGGTAAATATATAGCAGACAGTTTTTTGTTTATGCTGTTTCTGGCTGGATTTCAACATCAGACATTTGGAACGTATGCAGACAACAGGAAGGAGATGTTTATGTTCTTCTGCTGTTTTGAGACAACAGTCTGGCAAACCTCTTGCTGAGCTCCATGTAAACAAGGAAGTTATGTCACCTGCCTTCTGGGTATCCTTGTTCAGACATTGTGTAAAAGTTATCTGGTTTACAAGCTTTACCACATGAAGTTTTCATGACAAAGTTGAATATAACTTTACACAGACAAGATGAGTAAGTGATTCTTTCACGCTAGTGTCATGTAAAGAAACAATCTACGTTCAGTATGTTAGAAATCAGCAGCATTTGTGGAATAATGTTGATTACCACAAAAAAGCAAAACTGAAGGAAGCCACTTACAATGGAAGTGTTTTTTGGAGGATTTAAAACCAGATATGTAAAGCTTGGAATTGTATAGAAGCACTTTTTAGTAACAATTTACAATAAGGTTCCATTATTTAACTTTAATTGCATTAGTTAACATTAACAATGAAAAATATTTATAAAGCATTTATGAAT